CGATTGAGATCGCCACACAGACGACCAGTGTCACTGCACACGTCGTCGAGTCCAGTGAACACGTGATTGTTCAGAAGCCCAGCGTCCACGTCAAAGCCCCTCTCGTCACCGAGACCGTGGCATCAGAATCACCCAAACCTCAGGTTGTTCAACCAGCACCACTAGTCGAAACCACACAATTCGTCAAACACACCACTGTCGACAAGCAAATCGACACAGTGCCGAAAGCCTCATCCGATGTCGGTGGACAGACCGACCTACACAAATCTCTGCTCGACAGTGAATGTCACTTGTCGTTGAAACGCACCGACGCCACGTTGCAGGCGAAACCTGCCCGATTGTGTATGGTGGACTCTCAGAGTGAGTTGCATGCACCAGTGAAAGTCGAGCCGCCAGTTGTTCCAGTTCAACAACCAGTGAAACGCACTCAAACATTGGAAGCCAGTATGCAGACGATGACGGAAGTGGCGTGTGTTGTGGACAGCGCGACCGGTGTGTCAATGAAGACGCCGGAAAGTATGCTGGATTCAGTCGCATCGTTTGTGAAGAGACCCAGTGTGAATGCTGAAGTGCAAGTGGACAGAGTGAGCACACCTGTCGTCAGTCTGACCACGCACAAGTTAGAATCGAGACCGGCAGAGCCGAGTCTGTGTACCAGTTGTGGACATCTGTATGTGAAGACCGAACAGACGGCTTGTCAGACCGTTCAAGCTCCGGCCGCGCCGGCTCCTGTTCCCATCAAGACATCGAGTGTCGCTCTTCAAACAAGCAAGTTCGCGAGTATATGCCAGGCCGCAAGTCAGTTCGCCACCCCTGTTGTCATTCCTGAGAAGCCTGCACCATCTGTATCGACCTACGTGGACTCGGAGTTATCTGCGCACACAAAGGTTGATCAACCCGTCAAACATGATGTCAGTGTACAGTTCGCCACTTCTGTACCCACTCGTATCATGAGTACCAGCTACCAAGTGAAACAGACCACCAGCCACACCTTGACCGAAGCAGTCGGAGTAGCAGAGCAAGCCGTCCAAGTGACGCAACCCGAACGACCTGTCGTCGTCGGCCTTGAGCAGAAGGAGGTGAAGACTGTGAAGCCTGAACACATGCTATCAGTTAGTGCCTCATACGCAGAATCGCCCGTCAAACAACCAGCACCACGTCAAACGATTGAGATCGCCACACAGACGACCAGTGTCACTGCACACGTCGTCGAGTCCAGTGAACACGTGATTGTTCAGAAGCCCAGCGTCCACGTCAAAGCCCCTCTCGTCACCGAGACCGTGGCATCAGAATCACCCAAACCTCAGGTTGTTCAACCAGCACCACTAGTCGAAACCACACAATTCGTCAAACACACCACTGTCGACAAGCAAATCGACACAGTGCCGAAAGCCTCATCCGATGTCGGTGGACAGACCGACCTACACAAATCTCTGCTCGACAGTGAATGTCACTTGTCGTTGAAACGCACCGACGCCACGTTGCAGGCGAAACCTGCCCGATTGTGTATGGTGGACTCTCAGAGTGAGTTGCATGCACCAGTGAAAGTCGAGCCGCCAGTTGTTCCAGTTCAACAACCAGTGAAACGCACTCAAACATTGGAAGCCAGTATGCAGACGATGACGGAAGTGGCGTGTGTTGTGGACAGCGCGACCGGTGTGTCAATGAAGACGCCGGAAAGTATGCTGGATTCAGTCGCATCGTTTGTGAAGAGACCCAGTGTGAATGCTGAAGTGCAAGTGGACAGAGTGAGCACACCTGTCGTCAGTCTGACCACGCACAAGTTAGAATCGAGACCGGCAGAGCCGAGTCTGTGTACCAGTTGTGGACATCTGTATGTGAAGACCGAACAGACGGCTTGTCAGACCGTTCAAGCTCCGGCCGCGCCGGCTCCTGTTCCCATCAAGACATCGAGTGTCGCTCTTCAAACAAGCAAGTTCGCGAGTATATGCCAGGCCGCAAGTCAGTTCGCCACCCCTGTTGTCATTCCTGAGAAGCCTGCACCATCTGTATCGACCTACGTGGACTCGGAGTTATCTGCGCACACAAAGGTTGATCAACCCGTCAAACATGATGTCAGTGTACAGTTCGCCACTTCTGTACCCACTCGTATCATGAGTACCAGCTACCAAGTGAAACAGACCACCAGCCACACCTTGACCGAAGCAGTCGGAGTAGCAGAGCAAGCCGTCCAAGTGACGCAACCCGAACGACCTGTCGTCGTCGGCCTTGAGCAGAAGGAGGTGAAGACTGTGAAGCCTGAACACATGCTATCAGTTAGTGCCTCATACGCAGAATCGCCCGTCAAACAACCAGCACCACGTCAAACGATTGAGATCGCCACACAGACGACCAGTGTCACTGCACACGTCGTCGAGTCCAGTGAACACGTGATTGTTCAGAAGCCCAGCGTCCACGTCAAAGCCCCTCTCGTCACCGAGACCGTGGCATCAGAATCACCCAAACCTCAGGTTGTTCAACCAGCACCACTAGTCGAAACCACACAATTCGTCAAACACACCACTGTCGACAAGCAAATCGACACAGTGCCGAAAGCCTCATCCGATGTCGGTGGACAGACCGACCTACACAAATCTCTGCTCGACAGTGAATGTCACTTGTCGTTGAAACGCACCGACGCCACGTTGCAGGCGAAACCTGCCCGATTGTGTATGGTGGACTCTCAGAGTGAGTTGCATGCACCAGTGAAAGTCGAGCCGCCAGTTGTTCCAGTTCAACAACCAGTGAAACGCACTCAAACATTGGAAGCCAGTATGCAGACGATGACGGAAGTGGCGTGTGTTGTGGACAGCGCGACCGGTGTGTCAATGAAGACGCCGGAAAGTATGCTGGATTCAGTCGCATCGTTTGTGAAGAGACCCAGTGTGAATGCTGAAGTGCAAGTGGACAGAGTGAGCACACCTGTCGTCAGTCTGACCACGCACAAGTTAGAATCGAGACCGGCAGAGCCGAGTCTGTGTACCAGTTGTGGACATCTGTATGTGAAGACCGAACAGACGGCTTGTCAGACCGTTCAAGCTCCGGCCGCGCCGGCTCCTGTTCCCATCAAGACATCGAGTGTCGCTCTTCAAACAAGCAAGTTCGCGAGTATATGCCAGGCCGCAAGTCAGTTCGCCACCCCTGTTGTCATTCCTGAGAAGCCTGCACCATCTGTATCGACCTACGTGGACTCGGAGTTATCTGCGCACACAAAGGTTGATCAACCCGTCAAACATGATGTCAGTGTACAGTTCGCCACTTCTGTACCCACTCGTATCATGAGTACCAGCTACCAAGTGAAACAGACCACCAGCCACACCTTGACCGAAGCAGTCGGAGTAGCAGAGCAAGCCGTCCAAGTGACGCAACCCGAACGACCTGTCGTCGTCGGCCTTGAGCAGAAGGAGGTGAAGACTGTGAAGCCTGAACACATGCTATCAGTTAGTGCCTCATACGCAGAATCGCCCGTCAAACAACCAGCACCACGTCAAACGATTGAGATCGCCACACAGACGACCAGTGTCACTGCACACGTCGTCGAGTCCAGTGAACACGTGATTGTTCAGAAGCCCAGCGTCCACGTCAAAGCCCCTCTCGTCACCGAGACCGTGGCATCAGAATCACCCAAACCTCAGGTTGTTCAACCAGCACCACTAGTCGAAACCACACAATTCGTCAAACACACCACTGTCGACAAGCAAATCGACACAGTGCCGAAAGCCTCATCCGATGTCGGTGGACAGACCGACCTACACAAATCTCTGCTCGACAGTGAATGTCACTTGTCGTTGAAACGCACCGACGCCACGTTGCAGGCGAAACCTGCCCGATTGTGTATGGTGGACTCTCAGAGTGAGTTGCATGCACCAGTGAAAGTCGAGCCGCCAGTTGTTCCAGTTCAACAACCAGTGAAACGCACTCAAACATTGGAAGCCAGTATGCAGACGATGACGGAAGTGGCGTGTGTTGTGGACAGCGCGACCGGTGTGTCAATGAAGACGCCGGAAAGTATGCTGGATTCAGTCGCATCGTTTGTGAAGAGACCCAGTGTGAATGCTGAAGTGCAAGTGGACAGAGTGAGCACACCTGTCGTCAGTCTGACCACGCACAAGTTAGAATCGAGACCGGCAGAGCCGAGTCTGTGTACCAGTTGTGGACATCTGTATGTGAAGACCGAACAGACGGCTTGTCAGACCGTTCAAGCTCCGGCCGCGCCGGCTCCTGTTCCCATCAAGACATCGAGTGTCGCTCTTCAAACAAGCAAGTTCGCGAGTATATGCCAGGCCGCAAGTCAGTTCGCCACCCCTGTTGTCATTCCTGAGAAGCCTGCACCATCTGTATCGACCTACGTGGACTCGGAGTTATCTGCGCACACAAAGGTTGATCAACCCGTCAAACATGATGTCAGTGTACAGTTCGCCACTTCTGTACCCACTCGTATCATGAGTACCAGCTACCAAGTGAAACAGACCACCAGCCACACCTTGACCGAAGCAGTCGGAGTAGCAGAGCAAGCCGTCCAAGTGACGCAACCCGAACGACCTGTCGTCGTCGGCCTTGAGCAGAAGGAGGTGAAGACTGTGAAGCCTGAACACATGCTATCAGTTAGTGCCTCATACGCAGAATCGCCCGTCAAACAACCAGCACCACGTCAAACGATTGAGATCGCCACACAGACGACCAGTGTCACTGCACACGTCGTCGAGTCCAGTGAACACGTGATTGTTCAGAAGCCCAGCGTCCACGTCAAAGCCCCTCTCGTCACCGAGACCGTGGCATCAGAATCACCCAAACCTCAGGTTGTTCAGCCAGCACCACTAGTCGAAACCACACAATTCGTCAAACACACCACTGTCGACAAGCAAATCGACACAGTGCCGAAAGCCTCATCCGATGTCGGTGGACAGACCGACCTACACAAATCTCTGCTCGACAGTGAATGTCACTTGTCGTTGAAACGCACCGACGCCACGTTGCAGGCGAAACCTGCCCGATTGTGTATGGTGGACTCTCAGAGTGAGTTGCATGCACCAGTGAAAGTCGAGCCGCCAGTTGTTCCAGTTCAACAACCAGTGAAACGCACTCAAACATTGGAAGCCAGTATGCAGACGATGACGGAAGTGGCGTGTGTTGTGGACAGCGCGACCGGTGTGTCAATGAAGACGCCGGAAAGTATGCTGGATTCAGTCGCATCGTTTGTGAAGAGACCCAGTGTGAATGCTGAAGTGCAAGTGGACAGAGTGAGCACACCTGTCGTCAGTCTGACCACGCACAAGTTAGAATCGAGACCGGCAGAGCCGAGTCTGTGTACCAGTTGTGGACATCTGTATGTGAAGACCGAACAGACGGCTTGTCAGACCGTTCAAGCTCCGGCCGCGCCCGCTCCTGTTCCTATCGTCGTTGAATCCACTGAACACTTTTCTTGCGAGGAGCCGATTCATCCTGTCAGTTCCGCTCTCGTAACCCAATCTCTCTCATATGACTTTAGGAAGTTTTCTTCGGATTCTGCGGTTTCTTTTGTTGATTCAGCCTGTCAAACTTATCCTTTTATTTCTGTTTCTGATATCTCCAAATCCCATGTCTCTGAGTTGGTTGATAAAGTTGTTTGCACACCTGTATTTGCTTGTTCGAGTGTCGCTGTTCAATCTTCTCTGCCTGTTACTGTTGTGGACAATTCCCTTGGTTTACTTTTGTCTTCGTCTATTTCTAGCCCTTATGTTACTGCCACTTCTCACGTGTCTGCTTCTCGTGATGTTGCTCTTGCTCTATGTGATTCTTCATCTTACCACTTAATTGATCATGAATCTTTGCCTGCTCCTGTCACTGAAGAGGAGGTTCCACTTGATTCTGGAGACCTTGAGTGGGAAGTGGTTGATGATCATTTGAAGGTGCTACAGCCTAGTTTAATTAATATTTCTGTTCAAACAGAAGAACAGTACATTCAGAGGTCTGAGTCACATCATGAATTTTTACGCTCTGTATCTGCTAGTCAGACTACTCTTCACACAGCTATTAACAGGAAAAACTTCTCAGTTCAGTATATCTATGAGCCACTTCAAGAAAATATTGGTTGTCAAACTCAACTTTTAACACAGGACATTTCGAAAACAGTTAAAATTTCTAGTCAAGATTGTGAAACAATGACCGATGAAACAGAGCCTCAAGTTGCAGTTTTACTTCAGAATATAAGTTCTACAGATATACGTGAGAGACTTATTGAACGCTACTACTATTCATCACCTCGTACCACAGTACTTGTTAGTGATGCAGAAACACAAGTCAATCTGATAAGTACAGCATATAGAGGACATACAACAAGAGATTTCTATTTGAAAGAAACTTCTATGGACTATCGTGTTAGAAATTTCAAAGAAAGTGAAGACACTATAATAGAAGAGTCTAGTGAACATGATGATAGTGACAATGGTGTACCAGTCACATCAACTGAATCCTATTCTGAGCATATTAAACATTTACTGCGTGAAGGAAGTGTAACAGAAGTTTGGGAAAAAACTCAACCAAGTCATTCTGTTTATGAAAGTTATCAAAGTCGACGAGAATATGGATCAGTTCGTGAACAAGCCTCTATGGCTATGGAAGAACCAGTTGCAGCAGCAGATGTTGGCATTCAGATTACATTTGATTCACACACTCATTCTTCACCTTCGGATACAGAAATATCAAGATCTGAATCGCCTTTAAGTGGATCAAGTTACACCTATGAAGCCTATATGATCCGTTCAAGGTTAGGACAAATCTGTGAAGTTCAATGTCAATTCTGTCCAACGCATATAACATCAGCCTCTCAAACAGAACATTATGGACATGGAATTCAAAGTGAACGACGTGAAACCCTAAGTGAAGATATTTTTGATAGTTATCATAGAAAATTGATAAAAGATGAAATTGCAGAAGCATGGACACAAGTTGAACATGATTCATACAAAGAAACACAATTAGAACAAATCACTGAACCTATTGATATAATTGAAGAACGTTTTCTTGAAATCACTGAGAAAAAGAGTAAAAAAGTCTATAGTCAAATTAAAATCACTGAAGAATACACAGAGGATGAAGATTTAATTGTTTGTGAACTTGGTGTACAAACTGATCCTCACGATGATCATCTATATCATAGTACACCGAAAGAAACTTATACCTCTATGACTTCACGCGGAGAAACTGAGAAACATTTAGTTCATGAAAGCATCCAGACATCAGTGATTCACCTAGCCAATATTATTGCTACAGGTGACTTAGAATGGGCTGATTCAGATTTACGTGAAGTAATCAAAACTGGTATCAAATTTATTGGCAGTGATATTCATAAATTTGAAGAAACCTCTCTTCGAACATACAAAACACAACATTCACGGTTCGAATACGATTCGCCTGAAAAAGTATTTGTCACTACCGGTACTCAAGTGATTCCAATAGAATTAAATCTAGAGAAAAGATTTCAGAAGGAATGGACAACTGAAACAATGTCGGTACATCATAAAGCATCAGAATCATTCCAACAAGATTCGGATATTTCTGATAAAGTAGAAATGCTTACAGAAGGTATTCATCACACGTAAGTAATGAAATATTTTTCTGAGATTTTTGTAAATTGCTCTATAATTTTCATGTGTTAGCTTGTAGAGATTTGATTCGTATTTCAAGTTTGACCTTAGATCGATATCAGTTAGAGAACTATTTCAAATAACTAGGGAGTACTTGACATCTGTTTCGACCTAGTAAATAAATATAATGCGTTTTACCTTACTAAAAAAAGTCCGTTACCAATTCTTATATCTTCTGCCCTTGTAGTATGACCATTGATTGATACAACTAGTAGACTTGTGAGTCTACTCTTCCAATCAGTATTCACAGCGTTGCAAATATGGACGGGATTCAGACTTAATCCCTCAGATGGTAGCTTTGCACCACTGGCCTTTCGACCAGGCACATATACCACTTGTCTGAACCTGCGGTTCCTCTCATACTAAACAGGATTACCACAGCAACGGCCAGATTGTACTTCACTGATTACTGTACTCATTAGTAGGGTAAAACCAACCTGTCTCACGACGGTCTAAACCCAGCTCACGCTCCCTATTAGTGGGTGAACAATCCAGAGCTTAGTGAATTCTGCTTCACAATGATAGGAAGAGCCGACATCGAAGGATCAAACAGCGATGTCGCTAAGATCGCTTGGCCGCCACAAGCCAGTTATCCCTGTGGTAACTTTTCTGATACCTCTTGCTTCAAACTCTGAAAATAATATTCAAAAGGATCGATAGGCCACGCTTTCACGGTCTGTATTCGTACTGAAATTCGAAATCAAGTAAGCTTTCGCCATTTTACTCTACGCCAGGTTTCTGTCCTGACTCAGCTCACTATAGGACACCTGCGTTACCACTTGACAGATGTACCGCCCCAGTCAAACTCCCCGCCTGACGTAGTCTTCAGAATGAGTCGCACATTACATCAAGACTCAAACACCGCAATCTGCACCACGATTCAGCTGATATGAACATGACACTGACACACGCAGCGTTAGACCACGTATGCCAGCATGCGCTTCACACCAAAATACCAATTCGTTCACGTTTCACTGAATAAGTAAAGAATAATAATAATAATGATTTACTTTATTCCAAAAACAGTACTTGTGATACAGAATGGAATTTTCAGCATTAATCACAATATTGCATCTAATTTCCTCAAATTATAAATAAAATTAATCACACAGAAAATTTTCCACATTTACAATAGGGGTAATGTCAAAAACATGCAGCATATAAAATGGAAATAATAATAGTGATAACAGCTAAGGTAATAATAATAATACAAGTGAAAATTGCCATGGGCTTGTTTCACACAGTATTGTCGATGCGGTATAGAAATCCTAGCATTTTTAAAAATATTGAATATAATGTTCTATTTACATGATATGGTGAGGGGAAAAACAAAGATTACAGCAGTCATAGAGATAAGTTGGTGTTTGCAATTATGAAAGTAAAACAAAGAAGCAACAGGACCATAAATATAATAGAAATAATAAAAGTAAAACTTGAAGGTATATAAGGATGGATGGAGGAAATTGTTTATTTACTAGATGAAAAAATGTTAGTTAATTCTTGCCTGACACTACTTTCATCACATAAAATACGTGCCAAGTATGGTATCATAGAATTTTTATACTTAGACTTGTGAGCATACAGGTTTCTGAAGTTACTTCTTGTTCTAACTGAGGAGATGCAAGGTGAAAGCTGAGGGTAAAGTGGATGCTCCAAGTCAGACAAAATCCCTTTAGCAAATTTACTGCACGAAGTCAAGTGCCTATCGACAACGACGTTAACTATGTGGTCCACTGGGACACCACTCACCCTACTGACTGACAGTCTTCAGCATTCTACGAATAGTGACATAGTCCTTTTTAAGCAAACCAGGAAAGAATAAGGGTGAACAATAAAGAAGAATAGGTAGGATACAAGAGTTTATAAACTGTAAGAGGAGCGGTTGAGTTATACCCGAGTGCCTTAACTTCTTAATGAAAAATGTCAGGCGGAATATTTTACTGCAGATCGCTAAGACATGGGAAGACAAGGAGAGATCAGACAGCAGTGGTATTTCACTGACGCCAGGCGCCGGAACACCTAGCTCCCGCCTATTCTACATCCATCATACACGGAGAGATTTAAAAAGATAGAAAATCAATCAACAAGTCAACTATCTATCCAATATTACTTAGCAGGCAGTAATTGAAAAAGATTAGATTTATTGATAGACTAATTATAGCTGTTCACTTCATGTACAGAATTAAGGGCATATAACAACAAAACTAGAGGGTGTATACCACACAGGGAGATAATTACTACGGATTAAATAAAATGTTGATACACCAAATGATACAAATCCCAAGGGAAATCAATAAAGACGTAGTATGCAAAATACAAACTCATACTACTTGCTACTGATAAGTAGTATAAGATTAAGCACAAAAGAAACAGTTGTAAAGGTTTAATTTGAAAGGAACTGACCCACACATAGTTTTTAAAGTGATACATCTATGAAATTAGTGTATAATCATCGGTTAATAAGAGACTAACTGAAATGAAAATATACTCGGTCGGCCACTTTGTTGTTTTCTAAAAGATTTTCAAACCTAAACCTCAATTTTTAATAGATCATTTCATGAATTGATGGTGTTTTCTGGGAGGCACTTCCATTAGAATTGAAAAGAATCATTTTCCCATTGGAATTTAAAACAAGCAGCAAAAGTTAATAAATAAGGGCTTAACAAATCCATATATATCACTGCATGTAGAGTATTCAATTGAAGAGTTATGAATTTGTAGTCTCCATGTCAGCACCCATTTCATAGGAATTCCCCTGTGAAGTAGTATACCCATTTCATTTAGTCATCTTAATTTCCTCCTGTTCTCGGCAGTCCTCTTTAGTTGGCCCCATGATCGCCTACACCCTCGAACCCACACCTAACTCGTCGTCGTTTTCCACTCAGGTCCTAATCGAGTTACAGCTTCTCTCACGATGTCATCCAGTAGTCTCCTCAGTATGTGCTGGATCCATCTCTATTTTCTTCTATACATAGTTCCTGATTGATTTGTTCCCTGATTTTCTTATTGTTAATCCAATCTGCACGACCATCTGATCTTCAGTGTGGAGCCAGAGAAGGTGGCTGTTGGTAAAAGTCCACAACCTGTTAGAAATGCTTTTCGTGATGTTTGCACCAAATTTCTTACGCATTTAGAAGAACTGACTGACTAAACATTGATGTTGAAAACCTGAATCTTGTACTTTATTCTGAGTAGATCAGATTTCCAAACTTATTTCAGAGTGTTGAACACGTCTACCTTGCCTTTCCGATCCTAGCTGGTTTCGACATCTTCATTGATGCCTGCTGTAACTCTCGCTTATTAAAACATCCCACTTGGTTCATTTATTGCAAGGTTATGAAAACAACTTGTTTTTCCAATAGAATTAAAAAAACTTAAGTGTAATGTATGTTCAACATTAAATCATATGAAGGTAATAAAATTCATTCAAAAATATCAAAAGAATGGTTACTGAACAAAGAATATTCCTTTCAATAATCGCTCCTTCTTCATCAGGTGCTATAGTTATATGCATCCATAATAGTGAATGAATAAATTAGTGTTATTAACAACATTAATGTTGTTTAAATAACTTCGAATCAATAATAATAATATCAGTGGATTACAGTTCTATAGTATCAGTATAACAATACACTGAATATCAAACAGACAAATTAGGAAAAATGATAAAACAAACTCATGAATTTATAATCTCCACTGAAAGCTGGTCAGGTCAGTAGTAATGGTTTGACTTGCTTCTTTTGTCAACAAAGCACTGGTTGTTTCAGGTGAATCGCGATAGCCTGTGCTGTTTGAAGCATGCGGTTATTGCTCCAGGAACTTGATTTTTCGTGCTCGAGAACATCTCACAGTATGGTTAAATAAAGGTGTAGTAAAAACCATCAACAGTTCGATATTAGACCACCTGGTCAAAACCGGCCACAAGGCCGACCAGCATTGAAGAATCCTTCTCTATCATGTACCGGGTACCAAATAAATTGTACAAAAACATCGAGGTACTGCATGCTCCAAACAGCACAGGCTATCACGATACGCGTGAAACAACCAGTGCATTGTGTGTAGAAGAAGCAAATCCGGCCAGCCACTACTACTGCCCTGGTCGGCCTTCAGTGGAGACTACAAATTCATAAATTTATATAATTATATCTTCTGATATTCAATTTATTGTTATGTCGATGCTATGGGACTGTAATCCATTGATATTATTATTGATTCGATGTTATTTAAACAACATTAATCTTGTTAATAACACCAATTCATTCACTATTATGTATATATAACTATAGAACCTGATGATGAAGAACAAGTTATCGAAAAGAATATTCTTTGTTCACTAACCAGTCTTTCGGAAATTATAATGAACATTTTTAATTAGTCAAAAATAGCATATCAGTAATCCTTTTTGATGACTATTAGGACTTGAGATGCGCTATTCTTGATATCTAACACGCTTTTGATAAACTGACCTACATTTAATTCTTGTTCATCTGCTCTTTTCTTTTATTAATCTATTTAAAAATTAACTTATGAATTGCTTAATTTTACTGTGACTGTAAGTGTGTTAACTCTTTGCTTCCAATTGCTGTCAACTGAAATTCATACACAACTGATATCAATTGTACGATTCCCTAGTAGGACAGTTAGTCACACTGTTTGAACAACTCCAAACTTCTATACTTGACTATGGATTGATGTGATATCAGTTAGAGACCGGTTGAAAACCACCAATGAGTACTGGATAGTTGTTTCGTCCTTGTTTCGGACTCATCTACACTGCACACCCACCAGTATTCGGACCCATAACCTTGAAAATTAATCTGATTTTCGCCAGTAACTGGCTGCAATTACCTGGAGTTCTAGTGAGAAATCATAACCGGTTGTGTCCACCAGGTCGGTGGTGAGAACATATACTCACAAATGAGATCGGCTGGTGATCGCTCGAAAGTCACATATTGGTAGAAGTTAGAATTCATGGGCTGGTCGGAATGGCCCAGGAGCATCCCTTGCAACCGGAAGGTCCTGGCTTCGAATTCATGTAGATGTGTACCGCCGTAGGGTCCCAAACTAGGACAAAAAAGCCGTCCATTACTCCCTAGTGGTTTTGAATAGTCCCGTAACTGATATCAATCTTGGGTGAGAAAAGCGAAACAAATCAAGTCCCTGAAAAAACTAACTCCTGAAGAATTCGAGGTTGTTTTCCTACTCACCTTAACTAGAGATAATGCTCATGGCGTTATGTGGGCATCTATCCTGATAGACGTGGGCTTTGGTCACACGACTGGCTGACTGCTTAACTTGGCTCACCTAACCTGGTGGCGCGGCTATTCTTAACACCGTCCCCAACTAATGAAGGGAGGATATAATACTTCCGTTTGTTCAAAGATGTATTTAAGGCAAAAAACATACAAAGATGATAAGAATACACCAACTCAATACAATACAGCCACCTGTAGTCTCTGTTCCCTTGAAAATCCATTTATCTTCCATGTGTGTTCATCAGTGCAAACAAACAAGTTAGCCACTGAAGGTTAACCTCACACCCAACCTCCCCTCTTCCATGAGGTCATTGCCAGCTGGTAAACTAGGTGGTCTAAGAGTTCACCGGTGGGGAAGAGAACCTGGATCGACGCAAAAGCCGTTTTCCACTGGGTTGCTTATTTCAAAATTAGGGTATTAATTCTACCAACTGATAATAATGTAATGGTACTGGGTTTAGTGTATGAGGACAGGATCAATAATGTATTTGTCTTTGGTGTCATATGATTATACAATTACAATGATAAATATTCTGGTCCGTGAGTACTGGAAACGGTTTTTTTGCGTGGATTTACCAAAAGTACTTTCGTCATTTTGTGGAAATGTATATCCATCGGCTGTTCAATCATAGACTGTGCACCAACTACTCACGTGGTCGGAATTCAATTCCTGGCTAACGCCCTCCTAAACCTCGATTAGTTTAATAGCGTATAGTTACCCTAGAAAAGAAAGAGAGGAGGAAAGCTGTGAGGCTAGCGGGCATACTGCATAAAAACGACACCATCATTAATGAAATTTCATAACTCTGAGTTCTACAACTATTATACTACCGATTAATTGAGATAAGTAGTTGTACACTTGTCATAACAACCAGCAGCGCTTACTAGCTAGATTAGAGTGATCTAAACACCGAATGCCCATTTCGCTAATTTGAAGCTGAGCTCATCAGCTGACAGAGCCGGATTAGTTCAACCGTTGACCATAAAGGTTTATATCCTGTGTGAAATCTCAACAGTTTAGACAAAAAGCAGTCTAGTCTGATGATGCTTGACGAATTATTATTTACTATCACTATTCCCTTGGATTCCGAGTGGAACATAGGGATTCAACAACACATCTCCACTTTGTTCTATTCTCTGTTCTTCTCTTCAGCCGGCTGAGCCCACGACTGCCCATAATCTCTCATCTCCTCCACCAACTCACATGATCTCCTCCATGCCACCCTAATACCAACGACCCACTCATCGCTTCCCACTGGGATTCCACCTTAGCGAAAGCCTGTACTGAGCGTGATGTCATTCGATGGCCTCCTCAATGTTTTCCCCATCCATCTTTACCTTCTCCTACATATTTGTTGAGTGATCGGCTCTTTCTTGTTGGTTTTTTCCCATAGTTTGTTGTTGCTTATTCTTTCTGCATGGCCATTTGATTTCCAATATGGAGCCAGCGAAGGTTGCAGCTGTTGATACAAGTCCGTAACTTGTTGGAAATCCTTTTTGTGACACGTCGAATTTCTGACCCGTATAGAAGAACCGAATTCACACTGGTATTGAAAATCTGAATCCTGTTCTTTATGCTGAGCGGGGAAGATTTCCAAACTGGTTTCAGGTTGATGAAGGCGTACCTCGCTTTTCCTATTCCGGCTAGCTTTGACATCTTCATCCGTGCCATCCCCCTGTATTTGAAACGATGCTTCCTGGCCAGATAAGTGAAGGAGGTAACCTCTGTGAAATCCCTCCCTTTGATGGTGATTGGTGCTGGTTGTTGTTGATGTTCGTTGTCTGCCTATCTTCATCACCTCCATCTTCTCGACACTCACTTGGAGTCCTGTCTTCGCTGCTCGCATCTTCTGTTATTCTGTTGGTTTTCGCCTGCCTGCAAGTCTTTGAGTTTGTATGACATTAGATATATATCATCTACACGTGAAATCCAGATCTTCTAGAACCTTCTCATCGGTGGTCCTGAGTATTCCTTACTCCTCACTTCCCACTGTCTGACGCATGATCCATTCCACCACAATTTGAGAATATCGTCGTTGGTGATAATAGGCAGCCAGCCTTGTCTTACTCCTGTATTCACCTCAAAGGCCTCACCGGATTTTCCGTTGTGGATCACTTGACACATGGCACTGTCATATAGCTAGCTGTTAAATGAGGTCGATAAATATTTGAGTACTGCACGCCGTAGTGTTGAAGCAGTTTCCAAATTACTTCTCGCTCAACGTTTAATAATAATTTGCTTTATTCCAAAACAGTACATGTGATACAGAATGGAATTCTCAGCATTTTTACTACTGTATTACATCCAGTTAGTACATTATCAAATTCTACATAGATTAAGGAAATCTCAATTCATTATTACAACAGCACATTGGCATGTCGGTAGCAAAGGTAAAGCTGAAACAGTGTTTGAAGGTGTTAGAAAAGTAGGAGCTGTCATATTTACTGGCGTAAGCGAGAAAGAAGCAAAGCAGCACATAATGGAAAAAAGAGAGAGAGAAAAGGAAAAGAAAGAAAGAAAAAGTTGTACCTATAAATGATATGAGTTGAAAAGACGAGATCCAGTTTTACTACTGACTATTTAATGAATTATAGGTGTCACGCCTAATGCTCCCCTTATCGCACAGAACACGAGCCAAGTAGGGTATGGTTGAGTTTTTGTACTTGCTGGTGCGAGCATACAGTTTTCTATATAGGCTTCTGGCTTTACCTGATGAGATGCAGGGGGAGAGTTGTGAGTGAAGAGGGTGGTGTGAGTTAGATAAAGTGGATGTGGCCCATTTTTCATATGAGTCCATGTGCCTGTCGACCAGAACATTAACAAGCTGGTTAAGTGGCACATTGCTTACCCTGCTCACAACCTTTAACATCCTGCGTAATATGTTATAATCTTTCTTCAGTAGCCCGGTAAAAACTAAGCGGAAACAGTAGAGAATAATAGGCAGAATGCGAGAATTAACGAATTGTAGGAGTAAGGGTTGGGTTGTCTGTCTAACGTTGTCTGTCTAATGCCTTTTTGAAGCCAATGAAAGAGGTTGAGGTAGAGGTTTGACTGCCATTCTATGTTTTGTTCGATGACGATGCGTAGAGTTGTAGTTTGATCAGCACATGAATCCAGCTTGTTGCGTGCGGCTGGTGGAGTTCTGTATGCAGTGCATCCTTTATTCTCTCCAGGTTGATACGACTTAGTATTTTACTTGGCATGGATAAGAGCATTACTCCACGCCATTTCTTGTACAGGCCTAAATCGCCTAAGGTGAGGTTAATATGCGTGTAGTAGAAGCATAAAATCTACCTATGATGAAGGTTTTCAACTAGCTGACTAATTACAACTATAGAATCTAAAGTAGTGAGTCTTCCACATGACAGTCTAACTTAAATTATTAGATGTGTAAATTATGTTTGCTGATATTAACATACGTGTGTGTGTTTCTCTATTCTACAGGCCAAAGATCTTAGTGCAACTACGTCAAAGAACATTACAGTATGAATTATTTGAATCCCAATATTCAACAACCAGTATGCATTGGAATAATATTCGTGAAGTAGCCAGTCCAAGAACAGGATTATTCGCTCCTGTTGCAATGGCAATAAGAAGAGGATGGATAAGATTAGGTGAAGTGAATGAATATATTGATCCAATGACTGGTGTAGCCATTCCCTTAGAAACAGCTTATCAACAAGGACGTATTCGGTTGGCTAGTACATCAAGTAGTTATGATAGAAATATTATTACAAATACACCGATATTACTATTGATTGAAAGAGTTTATTTCAGTTGGTGTAAAGCTTACTTGACCAGTGTGATTGATACAGCCACCGGGGAAGTATTATCACCAGATGCGGCCATCTTAAATGGTATCCTTGAAACAACTGAAGATGAAATACGCCTATTGGATAGTTTAACCAATACATGGATTACTATTGAAGAAGGCGCTGGTCGACAAATCATTCAACTAGAACCATCAACACCAACAACTGAATCTATGGAAGATGAATTAGATGAACCAGCTAGTTGTAAAGTTTACCAGCTGACACATATTTGTCCTGGAGGTGAACCATCTCCATGGTTAAATCCATTAGAAGCTGTACGTTTAGGTTTATTGAATTGGGAAAATGGTGAAGTGGCTGCTGATTGGCCAGCTAGACCAATCATTCGTAGTACTGATACTATGGGACAATATTCAAGCGATGATTTTATTCCTACAAGATGGTGTACTTTCTTAACAGCAAAACAAGCTGGTTGGTTAAGATTTACAGAAGAATTAGAGCCAAGACGGCATATAACAACATCAGGTCAACCGAATAATGAACCTGGATCATTAATATTATCAAAACAAGTGAATCTGTTAGCCCCATCTCAACCATCATTGAATTATATTGAAGATGATGATATCTCGGAACAAAAATACCAACAACATCAACAATATCAACATCAACAACAACCTCAGCATGCTTCACATTCACATCGTACGGAACTCTATATCCCTAGAACACGATCAGAAGAAGTTTATCCACTTATAGATAATTTAAATTCGTCAAATTTATTTCCATCAATTAATGTTATAGCTGGACATAGTAAAAGTGCATCATTTACACGTATGAATACAAAACAATCTATATTTAATGAATATCATAAAGTAATTCCTTCACGTATACAAGTACAACATGAATCAGATGAACGTTCATGGGCAAGTGAAACACAAATCTGGGAAGAATATCAAGATACTTCATCAAGAACAATATCACCTGATAATAGTGATATACATGGTCATCGATAAACAATAATTATTAATGAATTTTATACATATACCCATATATATATATATATGTATTTATCCGGAAATCTAAATATGGCTGTTACACTATTTGTTACCAGTTGCATTCTTCAATGGTTTATCAAACTGCCTCTCCTTTATCCCTCCTATGTATACAAAATAATCACTTGGAATACAATAAGAACATAAGAACATATACATATAAGTATTACGATTGTTAATTTTACCGCAAAAGACTCCTCTGGTCTCTATGACAACTGCTAATAATAATAATAATAATAATAAACTATGGTCAACGCTACTTAATTAGAATATATTTTAATTATAAATAATTCTTTACTTATTTATTTATTTAATTTTGAATGGCTTACAGTTTATTTCATTGGCTTTTTGTTAAATTTTTTTTTGTTTTAAATCACTCGCGTACATATCATACATAAATTACCCGCCATGAATAAATAATAAACTCACAGACGCAGAAAAACAACAACAAATGTATTTTGTTTTTTTTTATTATTTCGATGCTTATTGCACTGAAAATCAACCTTTCGTTTTGTACTCAAAAAGAAGAAGAAGAAGTAGATGAAGAGAAAATACATTTCGTTATCCCCCCCCCCTCTTTTTTCGCTTTTGTATTATTATTATTAATAGTAGTAGTACTATCTGTTTATTGAGCATTGAACGATTAGTAGTGCGTTACACTGACTAATTGACTATTGAACAATGAATTTTGTGAGCGCGTTTTTGAAAAAAGAAAAAGTTACCGCGAAATGATTGTTATAACAAAAATATTATTAGGTTAATTTAGAAAATGTTTAGTTTACATTCTTTTGTAATGTATATTTTTTAGTTGATTATTTTATCATTTTGGAAAAAAAATGTGAATTCTTATCACATCTTATCTCACGTTGTGGTTTTGTTTTTTATGTATACAAGTATAAGGCTTAGAAAGTTTGAATCAAAAGTAGGTAGTATCATGATTTCAGTCAAAATTTTGTTAAGATAAACAAATCACACAGACACACACTCACTTTTGTTCAAAATAAAGTTTTGCTTTTTGCTTTTAAGCTGAAATTTTATTCTAATTGTTTAAAATTTCTTTGTTATAATAAAAATTTTAATCAGTAATTTAGTGTTGAACTTGTCTTCAAAGTTACACTGATGATGACGTTGATGATAACGTCTAGTATGATATAGAAACGTCTGTAAATTCAAAAGGTTGGGTTAAAGAGAAAAAACTCAGATGAATTATTCACATCGCTGATACGGTTACTTCCACGATGTCCAGTGGTTAACATGATGTCATTTGATTGATGGTGACTAGCGGGATGCATGTTTCATCCTGTCTGGGACTCATCAGACTCGTGTAAATGTATTCAGTGTGCACCGTGATGGCGAGCTACCTAGAATGGTGGCCACATTGCAAATACCTGACTGATAGAATTCAGTCTGCACCAAAGAAGGACTAGATACGTCACACTAGTTACTAATGTCCAATCGAAATGTATTCCCAATGAATAATGGTGTATTTACCTGCACTCGAAACCAACACCCGTCGTTTCAACTGATTCCCGTTGCATAAGAGGCGGCTCTTGTGACCTAGTGGGCAAATCAATTTCACAGACGGTAAATTAGTAAGCAATTTTCAACCTACACAGTTTGAGGAGTGACATTTCACTACAGTAACCTGTGGAAACCGAATTATTCAAGTAACAATATGTGATCTCCTTTAATACTATAAATGGTATTGAAGAAAGGAAACATGTTTGCATAAATCTATGTACTGCTGACTGACTGACTGACTGACTGACTGACTGACTGACTGACTGACTGACTGACTGACTGACTGACTGACTGACTGACTGACTGACTGACTGAGATGCTCGGTTGTATAGCATTTATATCAACCTGGGGTGTTTGATAGTCAGATCGTTCGTCTGAGGCCATCCGCAAAAGCAGTGTACCCAGCCTGACTAAACTGAGAGAGTCGAACTAGTTCAGGCCATCCAATTTCCGGCCAGTGGATAACGATTTGGCATTTGAAAAGATGAGTGCCACGTCCTAGTCTCAGAAGAAACACTATCAATCACTGGGGAACAAGCACCTCCCTCTGACAACTACCGAATAAGACGAAACGCTTATCCTGCATTGTATTGGGAGCCAACATCAACTAAATGTCAAAATAGTTAACGGAGAGCATTAGCCTACTAAAATTTTTTAATTACAGTTTTTAGTTAAACAATGGCTGACAGCCAATTTTTTTTCCCTCACGTTTCTCAGTGGAACATAGGGCTTCAAGCTAGAGTCTTGAAGTTTCTGTAGCAGTGTTTTATTTTAACAGGATGGGATTGCTAGCCTCATGCCCAAACTTTCAACTTTACCAGGATTTTATTACTAGCATACCGAGGTAAAGGAGTGCGTCGGCCGGGGATCGAACCCCGGACCATGTGCATGGTCGGCGAGCGTCCTAACCGCTATGCCACCGACGCAACAGCCAATTAGAAAGTGACATTTCTAATTAGAACGAATTATTTCCCATACTGAGTCATAAGACGAAAAAAACGTAAACAGCGAAGAAAATTTTCTTTTCGACGATTCACTTTAACAAGCTGCTGTACAGTCGTAATTATATTTAACAAAGAAATCATTATGCCAATCAGATTCTGGTAAAATTTGTCCTCGAAAAACGTATTACGTAAAGTAAGTTGTAGTCTAGACGGTATGACTAACTGAAAATTAAAGAAGGGGGTAGAAGTTGGCATGACATAATAAGCGTGAGAAAATGACTAATCAGTATGACTGTGTGTAGAGGGGATGAGAACTTGTAGAATGACGACAAAGTGTTTTTTATAAAATCCGTATGAAAACACAATGTTATTAAATAAACAGTAATAGAGTGATAACAAAATATGGATGATGAGAATAATAATAGTAGGGCGAGTGAATTTATGTAGTGCTTTTGAATTCAGAGGTCCGGTTTCAGATCCCAAATAGTCAGTGATTCAGCTATGTTCAGATGGCGTATTCAAAATTCTTTCGTGAGATATTGAGGGATTCCGTGTAGCACTGTGAAGGATTCATGCGAGTGTGCTTGATGTTCAGAGTTGACAAGGTTTTCGAGGATGGAGCTTCTTCTCTTTTCCTCTGGCTGGCTAGCTAAGTTGGAGAGTGTTCCAGAATACGTTTGCGGACTTAACGTTTCGTACAGCCGATATTCTTCGCTCTACACGAACAAGTAAACTTGTAGAAACAGAAGACAAGGGCCAGGCAACAGATCGTTTATTAAGGAAAATCAACACATATCTATAGATTTTAATGTACATTATTGTAGATTATTGTTAATAGAAAAGACAGTCTTTTGATTGGTTGTGTAGTGTACATTGAACCTTCGAACTTTTGTTTGAACGGACTCACCTGAACTTTAGCACTACTTCCTCTTTCAATTCGTGAATCTCCTGTACGGTTTTGGTTCGCTCTCTCGCTGTGCTTTCATCCGGCACACTCTCCGAGCTTACCACCGTCACGACTGCAGATAAGTGTATAACCTCTTATATTTTATCAAATGTCATATCGCTTTTGTGTAAATATAACTCTGTTCCAGTCACACTTGTCATCTCAAGTCTTTTTACCTTGATTCCATTCGCTAGTATTTGCACATTAGGCAGAGTACAACTAAGGTCATAAAGCAGTGAAGAAGTTTTTGTAAGAGTGGTTAATTTAGGTCTAAGTTAAGTCAAGTCTAACTCTTACAGTTGTTTCTCACAGAAAGTTAAGCTTGCATCTCTTTGTGGCTGTGTCAGATCATCCATATGCTAACTGTATCCGCCTACGCAAAGCCTTTGTTCTCATTTTCTCACCATCAATATTGGGGACATAAACATTGACGTCAATTACTGTCTACCAACTTTGGCTAGCAGCCAGCTCTCACCACAAACTTATAAATACACATAGAGTTGGCCAAAAGCAGTTTCTTATCCTTAACGTTAGACTGGATTAACTGTCTTCTGGAGAATATGATACGTAAGGTGGTTGCTTGAAATATCTTCTTCAAACATATAGAAAGGCGGTTTCTAAGACTCTCTGCTTCGATGTCACCTTTGAATTCCAGTTTCATGAAGAGAGTTTTCAAAGGAACAGTTGTGATTTTTGGCGACGGTGGCTTTTCCTTCATGTTTCGTTGCTGAATCTTGGCGGATACCCATTCTCTAGTAGGGTTTCACGTAGCGAAATCAATTCATCCCCTATCGTGTCTTCCAAACAAATTTTTCTAATCCTTGAACACAATGCACGTACTATGTTTTGCTTTCGGACCAGTTGGAGGAGGCTCTGGAAGTTGGTGAACTGTTCTATCCATTTCGGCTTGCGATATACTGATCTTTAGATCGTGTAGTCTTGTCTTCTGGTAAATAGTACATCCAGGAATGGAAATATCATGTTTGATTCGCGTTGGTGAGTGTCCCACACTGAAGGTTTTCAGAAGATACTCTAAATCAAATTTTTCATCACAAATTATAAACGTATTTCTTATATAGGTGCAGCTGACTGATCAAAGGATCGAGGATGTTGTTTTCGCAACTCATAATGAAGCAGCCAGCTAGGAGTGAACCGAGAGGAGACCCCACAGCTCTACCATCTTTCTGTATATATAATTTTCATTGAATTTGAATTGGATATTAAAAGTGCATCTGAGAAGTAGTTCCTTCAGGCAGTTGATGGGAAGAGGAACTTTTAGGTTGTTGATTTCAATTTAGTCACAGATGAAGCATACGTCTCGGTCAATGGGATGCTTGTGAGTAGAGAGATGACATCTAGTGAAGGCACTTGTTTTTCAAACACGTTGATATCATTCACTAATTGTAAGAATTCAACTACATGAGATAGATAGTTTATGCCGGTGAGTCACCAACCGCCACCAACAATTTAAACATTTTCCTTTATTCTGTAGTGTATGTATGTATGAATTCGTGTATAACAGTAGAAGACAAGAGGATTCGGTAACGGAAACACTTCCTGCTAACTCAATATACAGAAATAGGCAAAGTAAGTTTACCCCATTTATTAGAATCACAATTTTTACAAAGCGTTGGAATTGCGCTGCTTCGCCTTCCTTTCATATTTTCCACGTTGTTTCTCAATAATCCTCCATTTCTCCACTATTCTACATTCTTGCAGATGATATATACATATTTATATCTGTATCTATATACTACTTACAAATCTTAACAGTAGCACACACCGCACATGTGTGTGTAGAGAATGCGTGTATGTACAGACGTAGAAGTTCTAGTTCAAATAGTATAGTGATCTGTACACGATCGAGCTCACTAATCGAATCACTTCTTTGCAAACGTTATTCTGTCGGAAATTTGAAGTGTTCAAACGTGATCACAAATAACTGAGAGAAAAAGATTAAGCCATTAATACAAACACAATTATCCAGGCCTAGAAAGAACAACAGTGGTTGTTTGTGCAGAATAATATGGTACCATCATTGTTTATTTCGTTGGCTTCGCATCAGCTGCTTGCATACAGCCCAAATAAATTATGAGGTTTACCTACAGAAAAGTTTTAACATACTTGCAATTTTTTTCATGATATCTGTTGACAGAAAGGTGAAAATCGAGAAATCCTTTAAAATTATCAACAGACAAAGGAGCTCGATTCTCCTCAATTTTACAGAAGCAATTTCTATCAAACGCTTGCAGCCAGATTTATGTGTTCAGAAGGAAGCAGTTATAAGTCTTTCCTTGCTCATCCTGATAACTGGATCTCTTTATTCTCTCATCTGATTACGTAATCTTTGTCTTTAACCTCACCCCTTTTTATAATCTGTAATTTTGCTTCCCTCTTGTTTCTATGATTTGAGTTGAACTGAGTACATTGTTACCTAATTTATTAAGTGGCAAAGCAAATTAATGTCATGTATAGACTAATTCATAGGATGGATAGAACTTGAAAAAGGTGTGCAATTATAAGATTAGTAGACAAATCGAATAAAATAAAAACGTTACGTAATGCTGTGCGAAATTTAATAGCATAGAATTTGATGTTGCATAAAGGAATATATATATATATATATATATATATATATATATATATATATATAAGTCATTGGCTGTAGAGGC